TGGAGCAAAGAAAAAAAAAAAAGACCTCTATTATTCTGTGAGCACCAAACCAAACTGGGTTGGGGTCTCAGATGATTCGCTCATATGATTGCAAAGACAGACATAAACTCCTGGATTGGAGAGGGCTCCCCTGATTGGAGAGGGTGCAGGTCAGGCTGAGGGACCCACCCCCCATGCACGAATTTCGTGCACCAGGCCCCTCATCTAATATGGGAATAGATGGCAGTCTAGGACAGAATACAAAGGAATACCAATATTTAAGATATAAAAACAAAGTTCACAAAGGAAACTATCAGGAACCATTGGGGTGAGTGGGAGGGTAAGAAATAAATAGGGATACTTAGAATAATTACTGGGCATTATTTAGATAGACGTTTATGAATTTAAGTTTATTGGTAATTCTATCTAAAGTATTTTTATGGGATTTATAGAATCTGGAGTATACAGATGCTTTTTTAAGAAGTCAATTTCTAATGGCCATTTTTTCCCTTTGATGGGAAAAATACCTTTGGTATTTTCTAAGTTTTATTTTTTCACAATAAATTATATTTCTTTTATACTTAGAAAAAGTCATTATAAGTAGTGGAAATTTAATGCTAGATTATTTTATGACTTGAGTGTTTTATAGAGTCTGAGAATCTAAATGGAAGTCTTGCAAATAATCTAAGTGTTTCTCAAAGTGTATTTCAGTGATTTCCTTAATATGGTCAATGAAAAAGGATTCTAGGAATCAATAATTTTGGAAAATATTGAAAATTTGCGATGCTCATTTGCATATTATAGCCCTAAGAAGTTCTATAGAAGAAGAAAATATTTATCTTTGTTTAATTCAGGGTTTCCCAAGCTTTTTTGATATGGAACACGATGTGAAATGCCTTATCTATTCACTAGTTTATTATGGAGTACACTTTGGTATTCATTGCTCCAATCAAACCCAAGAGACAGGGGTTTGTGGCTTATTGGGTATTATTAGTTCCAAATGGATAATTGAAGGACGTTGTTCCTTATCAGAGGCATTTATACTATAATAAAACACTGAATTTATATGTAAACTAGAGGCCCAGTGCAGGAATTTGTGCACCTTGAAAGGAACTGTGGGACGTGAGGCTGAGGTAGGCACAGGGGCGGGTCTTGGCCCATCTTCCCCGCCCCCGCCTGGCCCCTCCTGCTGCAGCCCCTGGTCCCCTGTTTTCCAGCAGCCCCGCTCCCGCCACTGCCGCTCCCAAACGCTGAGGGTGCTGGCCCCCCTCGCACCGCTGATGGCATCAAGCGATTGGGGCTGCGCTGGGCGCTGGCAGTGGGTGTGAGCGGTGGCTCCAGTGTAGGCAGCATGTGTGAGCGGGGTCGGCGCTGGCAGCAGGTGTGAGTGCCTGGCGGGACTGCGGCACGCAGGAGCAAAGAACTTTCAGTCACCACCAGAGGCTCACCCAGATGACAGCGACCAGTACCCCGCCTTGGCCTGGCGTCCCCACTCACCTGCTCCACCATCCCGCCAGGGCCGATGCCCACCATGTTCCACACACACCCCCTGGTGGTCAGCACACATCATAGCGACCAGTTGTTCGATTGTTCCAATCGTTCCGCTGTTTGGTCTATTTGCATATTAGCCTTTTATTATGTAGGCTAATATATCTGCTAATAGCCCTATAAGCTTTTTATAAAGCCCTGTTTAATTTCTTCCTGCATATATTCTAGAATGCAAATAGTAACTCTTAGTTATTCCAGTGATTTATTTACACCAATCATAATACATACTATTTATTGGGTAATTACTATGTTTTGACATTATATTAGGTGCTATACATATATTCTAATCCCCACAATTATTCAGTAGAATTAGTACTACTACCTCCATTTTTAGATGAGAAAATTTAGGGTAAAACCACTAACAAAATATCTATTCCTTTTAGTCACTCTGGGGAGTCAGTATCTGGTGAACTTGGAGATACTTAATTTGTCACTTTTCTCTGATTCCATTTTCTAAAATTTAAATCTTTATTGTTTTGTAAAGAATCTTTGATGATTTTCATGTGTTGTTAAGAAATAAATTACAGCTATATCAGTATAATTATAATAGAATTGATCTGGCACACTTAGTTCATTGAAGAAAGGATGTGGAAAAGTGAGCAATAATAAATCTGTGGTCATTATCAGGTCATGTCATATTTTACCATGACATAATCACATTCAACAATGATCTAAGTTAAAGTAGGAAATATAAAAGAAATATGCCAGATATCAGAGTAGAATAAATTTAAAGTCATATTGACAGAGCATAGAACTCTTTAATAATATGCTCTTAGACTCATAATGATCTGTTATTTATTACCCTAGGTAGCCAGATAAATGAGTCATAACAATGAACTTGGTTTTCCTAGTTGGCCAGTTTTCTGTATGCTAGCTATCACTAGAAAGAGTTTTCTTATAAATCTGTATTTTTTGTAGGAGATTTTATGTCAAAAGAAAATTTTAAATCAGGTATGTACTTTGCACTTTGGTTGAAGCAGGTTTATAGCATCAGCCTTGTGGCTTTGCAAGTTGTTCTTTGTCTGTATAGGTAAAAGTTTAATTTCAAACTTTCAGAGGCCCAGATTTGGTAACAAATACATAAGATAATACAGAATCCCATTGTTTTGTGGGTCTATGTTCTTAAACCTGATTTAAAAAAAAATCACGCCTCCTTTAATAGAGTAAGTAGGAGAGAGAAAAGTAATCTTAAAGTAAAACAACCCAAAAGTTAAGTGAATCTAAGCTAAACTCTAGAATATTAAGAGTGTATTCCAGTATAATCTTAATTTTTTTCCAGTTTCTAACAGTATGGTGTTTTAATGTTTATTTTTTAATTACTGTTTTAAATTGATTTAACAGATCCACAAAGACTCATCCAGGTCCAGTTGTACATTTAAGTGATAGCCCAAGAGATGAAGGGAAAGTGAGTATTACAGTGTTATTCTTGCATTTATTTTCCTCATTCTTAAATAAAGATATTACTTGCTATTATTTAATATCTAACATCTCTAGCACAGTTCATGGCATTCACTTTAATTTAAAATTAAAATATGTTGATTGAAATGTTTAATAAATAAAAATGACAAAGGTTTCATCAGAGAGGCGAAAAATATAACAGAGAATAAAATAACTGTAAATAGATGAAGAGAGAAATAGTGATCTGGAAGATAGAAGAAAATATCTAGACTAAAGCATGGTGAGATAAAAGGATGAAGAGCATTTGGGACATAGTAAAAATGTGTAATATCTGTGTAATTACAGTCACAGAAGAACAGACATAATGCAATAGCAGCAATATATGAAGAGTGAATGAATAATGATTTTTTAAAACTAATGACAGATATTGAAATCTAAGATGTACTATAGACATAAAGCAGGCTTACCAAAATGTGAAGTTCACATATGCATATCAAAGACAAAGAGAAAAGTCTTAAAAGAAGTCACAGAATAGAAAAACAAAAAAAGCAGACTAACAGCAGAGATCTCAACAGAAAAATTGGAAATGAGGACAACTGAGTGATAATATCAAGGTTCTGGGGGAAAAAAGCAACTGCTTACACAGAATTCTATACTCTACCAAAAAATTATTAACAACATATGATGATATTATTGCAACTTAACATAATTTGCAAGAATTTATTAATAGAAAATGCACTGTAGTGAAAAAACTAAAGGAGTTCTCTAAGAAAATAAAATTGATCCATTTTAAAAGAACAGAGAAGAGGAGTAAAGAAAAACAAACATGGATAAATATAAGGAACTGTTTGATATAAATAATAGTAATGAATTCTGGGAGTGTAAATACAAGTTAAAAATAGGTCAAAAGTTGGTATGAAATCAAATGAATTAAAGTTCTAAGGTCTTTATAACTTCCAGAAAGTAGTACAAATACTAATTTATATTATAGTTTGATGAGTCATGGAAACATTTTGTATTCTTGTGGTAACACTAGAAAAATAAAAATATATTTCTAATGGGTAAGTTTATGGAGTAGGACACTGCAATAATAAGTACTTAGAAAGGAAAGGAAATAGTAACATTAAATAGATGGCACAAATATAAAACAGGTAGATTTTTTCTAAAATATCAGCAATTATATTAAATGTAAACAGATTAAATAGGCTAAAGGACAGTAATTTGCAGATGTGTCAAAACATATTGTTACAAGAGACACACTTTAAACTTAAGGATATAGAAACATTTAATGTAAAAGGATCAGAAAAGATAGCATAGAAACCCTAAGCAAAGAAAACTAGCTATACTAATATCAGACAAAGTAAATGCCTTAATTCAGGTGTTATAACAAAAAATACAATAGGCAGGATGGCTTAAACAACAAACATTTTTTTCTCATAGTTTTGGAGCCTGGAAAGTCCAATATCAAGGCACCAGCAGACATGGTATCTGTTGAGGGCCTGGTTTCTCGATGGCCATCTTCTCACTGTGTCCTCACATGGTAAAGAAGACAAGAGAGCTGTTGAGTCTTTTTTATAAGACCACTAATCCCATTTATAAAGGTTCCACTCTCATGACCTAATAACCTCCCAAAGGCCCCACTTCCTAATCCATCACCTTTAGAGTTCAGATTTCAAGATATGATTTTTAAGAGGGCACAAACATTTCACATCAAGTATGAAGGCAGGAAAAAACATGACCCATAAAACATGTTTCAGTAAATTTCATTTTTATAGTTCATAAAAGGAGACCTAAAAGCAAGAACTTTTTCTAAAGAGAAGATTTTGTAATACTCAATTAAACAGGAGAAGTAATAACCCTCAATTTGTATATGTCTAATAATATAGCTTTATATTGTATAGGCAGTACTTGCTTTGCATGGTACAATGTTAAATGAAACATGCATAACTGAACCATGTTTTTGTTTTCCATGACTCCTTAGTGGGTGAGTGTAATTTGACAGAACTAAAAAATATAAAGCAAATTTGACAGAACTAAAATGAAAAATACCCAAATTTGCAAATGTAGTTGGAGATTTTAATACACGTCTCTGAGTCACTGAAAGAATAACCAAAATAATAATAATAATAATTATTATTATTATTAGTGAGGACAAAGAAAATTTGAACAACATGATTAACTAATTCAACCTAATTGATGTGTGTAGTACATTATACCCAATACCTGCAAACTACACATTATTTTCTAAGTGTACCTGGAATATTTACTGAAGTTGTACATTTGTTGACCCCTAAAACATGTTTCAATAAATTTCAGAGCATTAAAATAATGCACAATATATTGTGTTAACCACAGGATGATTTAGCAAGATTATCAAAGATAAATAGGAAACCTCCTAACTACTTAGTAATTAAGCACTATATTTCTGAATAACTTATGTGTCAAAGAAATCAGTATTGAAATTAGAATATATTTTTAATTATACTAGAAATGTGATACAGTAAAACTCGTGGACAGTAGCTAAAGCTGTGCTTAGAGGAAAATTTATATATTTTTATTGAATTTGTTAAAAAGTGAAGAAAAGCTGAAAATCAATTATCTTAGTGTAGAGTTTGAAATATAATGAATTAAACTCAAAGAAAGTAAAAGATAGATAATGATAAAGATGTGATGGTAAATTTTATGTGTTAACACACTTGAGTCATGGGGTAACCAGAGATTTGGTCAAATATTATTCTGGATGTTTCTGTGATGGTGTTTTTGAATGAGATTAACATTTAAATCAGTAGTCCAGTAAAGCACATGGCCTCCCGAATGTGGGTGAGCCTCCTCCTATCAGTTGCCTGAATAAAACAAGACAACTGACCTTCCTCTATGGCAGTGGTTCTCAACCTTCTGGCCCTTTAAATACAGTTCCTCATGTTGTGACCCAACCATAAAATTTTCGTTTCTACTTCATAACTGTAATGTTGCTACTGTTATGAATCGTAATGTAAATATCTGATATGCAGGATGGTCTTAGGTGACCCCTGTGAAAGGGTCGTTCGACCACCAAAGGGGTCACGACCCACAGGTTGAGAACCGCTGCTCTATGGGAAGAGAATTCCTCCTGCCTTATTGCTTTCCAACTGGGACATCAGTTTTTTTCCTGCCTTCATACTTGATCTGAAACATCAGCTCTTCCTGGATCTCAAGCCTGCTGGCCTTCTGGTTGGAATTACACCTTCAGTTCTCCTGGTTCTTCAGACTCAGATGGAACTATACCACTGGCTTTCTGGGTCTCCAGTTTGCCAACTCACCCTGCAGATCTTGGTACTTGTCAGCCTCTATAATCATGTAAACCAGTTCCTTATAATAATCTCTTTCTATATATACATTCTACAGGTTCTATTTCTCTGGAGAACTCTGACTAATACAAAATATGAGAACAGATATTAAAATAAATAGAAAAAAATGTAGTACATTAGTAACATCAAAAGTTGATTTTGTGAAAATACTAATAAAATTGATGCATCTCTGGCAAGCTGATCTAGAATTGAAGAAAAAAAGTACAAAGAACACAACCAATTTACATTCATCTCAGAAACACAAAGGTGTTTTAACTTTTCATAGTCAATATCATATCCACATTAACAGAAATAAGGAGAAAATGTATTACAATAAAAAGAAGCATTTTAGTTCAACTTCCCTTCACGATAAATAAAAATCTCTTGTAACATTAGGAAAAGAAAAGTAATTAATATAAACTTCACTTATTTACCCAAAATTATGAAAATATCCTCCTTAATGGTGAGTTAATGGAATGTTTTCCTCCTGTAATAAGAAATGATATAAAGATGCTGATTATATACATCTTTTATTTAACATTATGCAGCTATTGACAATATTAGTTGTTGAAGAAGGTGAGAAAGAACTGAAGCTCTCATATGCAGCTTTTGGAAATGAAAACTGGTATAATTAATTTGGAAAACTGCTTGGCACTATTAATTAAAGTTAAACATACTCTTACCCCATGAGTAAATATGGATAAGTATATATCTGACAGAAATGCATATAGTATGTGTTCACCAAAAGGCATTTACAAGTTTGTTCATAACAACATTTACATTACCTGTAAAATGAATAAATTGTGGGGATAGTAGTTACCTTTAGAGAAAGAGGATGAAGATATTGACTGGGTAAGGGTGTGAAATAGGCTTCTGAGTGTCTTGTATTGTTTTTCTTCTATTTCTTGTTTTTCCATTGTGTTTCTTGACTTGGTAGTATTTTCTTAAGTATGTTCACTTCATCATAATTCATTAAAGATACATCTATAACTTGTGTACTTTTATCCGTATGTCAATGAAAATATTTATTAAAATACTAGAGGCCCGGTGCACAAAAATTTGTGCACTCGGGGGCGGGGGGGGGTCCCTCAGCCCGGCCTGTGCCCTCTCGCAGTCTGGGACCCCTCGGGAGATAATGACCTGCTGGCTTAGGCCCGCTCCCGGGTGGCAGAGGGCAGGCCCAATCCCTAAGTGCAGCCCCTGGTCAGGCTCAGAGCAGGGCCGATTGGGGAGTTGGGGCACTGCCCCCTGTCATGCACAGAGCAGGGCGGATTGGGAGGTTGCGATGCCACCCCTAGTCACGCTCAGGGTATGGCCGATTGGGGGGTTGGGGCACCGCCCC